TGATTATGCATTGGGGTCATAAATGAAAATTGAGATTTTGTTATGTAAGGATAATTGTTCCTAAAACCTTTCCAACATGCCATCACCCCTAATCATAGTGGTTGGCCCTGTTATTAGACCCTTGTAGTTCTTCCTTTTTCTCGGCTCATAATTGAGAATAGGCTCTTAGACAGACACTTCTTACACCATAGTTTATTTTTAGGTGGTGTAGGTGTAAGAGGTTGTCCGTTGACTTGATGGGAGTGGAGTGACCTTTAACCGGGTTACTCAACGCAAAAAGTTTGGGTTTGCCATAGAGTTATAAGGAGGAGTAATGTATGGTAGACGACATGAACATTTATATAGTTATGTGTTTGTTGCATTTATAGTTGCATATTTTATCACTTAAAAATTCATGTACGAGCACCACTTCATCGACTTACCATCCTTAGAGGTGGGAATCAGGGCCGGCCCGACCTTCCAGGACTGGCGGGCTTAAAAGGGTCGGCCCTACAGGGCTAAAATTTCAAAAATACCCTAATTTGCTAAACCCAACCCTTAAACTAACAAGCTCAGGGCCGGCTTGTGGACTTTCGGCCTGTTTAAGAAAAAATGCTATTTTTTTTATATTTTTCATATTTTTTTATCAAAAAAATTAAAATAAACCAATGAAATTGTTAATAAAAGACATAAATATGAATAAAATTAAGTCACAAATACAAAATATCATTATATATAAATATCCATCAACATCCAAGAACATTTAAAACATTTATTAACAAGATAACAATATTTAAAAGTTTCATCTATAGTGCAATTGTACAATAAATAGACACTATTATTAATCTTTTGAAACTTTATTATCACTATAATCAATTACTCTTCTTCATAAGTATGCTTTTCTTTCGTAACAAAAATATCAAATTTTTTTCTTTATAGGAATTTTACTTTTAAAATTTTCAATCTAACTATTATTTTACTTTGATGCGAGAAATATTGTTGTTGAAACTCATGAATTTCTAATTCAAATTATAGAATCACAAGTTATATAAGTATAAAAATACTCTATTATTAAATATATATAGTTTAAAAATATCAACGCATATAACATAAATCAAATCATTATTAAAGTCCAAATTAACCCATTTTTTAAAAATTTAATTGGACAAATTATTGTCTAAAACTAAATAAATCAAACCATTCTGTAAAATTTAATTTTAAAATGATAATAATAACTAAATATTTGAAATATCATTAACAATGCAAAAAATTAATAATATTAAAATTACACAAAATATTTTAAAAAATAAAAAAAATATAAAAAAGGCCTAAACGGGCCAGTCCTTTTAAGTTATCGGCCCTCCAAGGCCTATTTCCCATTTGATGGGAAAAATTTCAAGCCCGACCTTTTTCATTTCAGAGCCTAAACAGGCTCGGCCCGTTTTTCCGACTCTAACCATCCTACTTGCATGTGTTGTAAATTGATTATTGGTTATTGGGACTTAATTATCTCATCTCGTTGTTCATTATTGTTTTTCAAGAGAGTCATCTAGTTTGGCTCGATGTTAAGGAAAACAACCAGAGGCATAGGCGAGCAAAGCTTAGTAATCTTCTTTTCGTTTGGGCTTGTAATATTATATATATTGCCATCTTAGAGCCCATGTTTTATTGACATATACTTACTTTTGTTTGATTCTTGGACAACTGTATTTGGTGGAGTACTGTTAGAATAGTTGGAGGCAATAGGACATTGTTGCATATGTTTCTCTTATGGATTGAACACGTGTGTGACTTGTGGGTTGGATGTAGTATTTTTTTGTTTTTTGTGCCCTAAATCTTTGTGGGATAAATGTTTATGTTGGGCTTACAAGTGATTACTATGTCTTGAGTTCTTATTATACTTGTTAAACTTATGAATGTTTTGTGCATTGAGTATCTTGTGATGTTTTTGAAATAATACAAATTTTTTATAACCATGGTGGTGTTTTAATACTCTAACCAATTCTTTTTCTTCTATGATTATCTTTTTAAAATTGTTTTATAATTTTATCTTAAGAAAATGTCTTTTCACTGAGCTTGTATACAAGTCTTATTTTAAGCTCTAGTCCGAGGTTTCAAAAAACTTGATAAGGCTTGAAGCCTTTTTAGGCTTAAAAACTTATTACGAAAACAAAAACGCTTAAAAACTTATGTCTCCAAGTTGATACACACACAAAACCTTTCAAACCATGCCTGCAATATGTTTTAAAAGCCTAGGATTCCAGCGCACCTGCAATGTAAGAGATCAATAAGGAAAAAAAGAACACCTAGCAACAAAAGTTGTTCAAATAAGTAGGAATAAGAAAAATTAATTATCTGTTCGCTAAAAAAATATATTTTCTAACATCAATTAAGTACAACAAACAACATGCAAAATTAGATTTTACTTGTTTTGCTTTTCATGCATAAACTGGGGCAAACTTATCCTACTGAAATTATAATATTTTATTTGAATATTACTAAAATAAACTTATAACAATCATAATGGTTAAGCAAACAACACAAATAAGAGAAGAGGGAATGAGTTGGTATTGCCATCTTGAGCAATCAAAGAGAGAAGAGGTAGAGGTGAATGATTAATAGATGAGATAATTGAGATTGTGTGTGGATGATGGGATGATAACTAGGGTTAAGGCTAAACAAGTAATTTTATAAATAATTTATAAAATTAATTTATATTATATTATATATAATAATGAAAAGAAAAAAAAGGCTAGGCGCCTGATTTGTTTACTTCTACACGGACGTCAATCATCAATCCCTTTCCGTTTTGTCCTTTTCGTAGCGTCTGCAATGTTTGGTTTAGCTTAGAACAAGTTATTGTATTTATCTTTTAAGATAATCTTCCGATCTTAAATCTAAGATTTTTTTTTTTTTACATTCTAACCTGTAACAAATAAGAAAAAAATTCATCACAATATTAATTCTCTAACAAAAATATTTTATCAATTTTCAAAATCAATTTGACATAGTCACTTCCTGCAGTAACAACTTTAACATGCCGTTTTGCAACTATACTTTTGCTATTAACCACACATTTCGCGAATTATTACCGTTCATACTCAGATTTTCCATCTACATAATCATCACTGAGCTTCTTCAAATTTTCCCAGACTTGCCCAGAGCCCAAACCCTGTCCAACATTAACCAAGTTATATATTCAAATTTCTAACCATTCTCACACCTAAAAAAAAAAAAGAACCAACACCCAACTTGAAGAACTTTCGAGTTATGTAATGCCGCACTTGAACTTCATCTGAATCTTTAATTATCCAAAACCCAAAGCCATCAAAATGAAAAAATAGAACACCACAGTAATGCTAGAAAGATGAAAAAAGTCATATGGTTTCAAAAATACTTACACTTTTGAACCAGCATCTTCTCCTGACATTCAAACCAGCAATGCACACGTTCTCTTTCTTTTCCTTCTCGCTAGCTTTCATCTGATGTAAGCGAATGTGGTGCCCATGTTTTGTAATTAGTAAGGGCAGTTTGGTCATTCCATTTAACTTGAGAATTCCAATTTGGTTTGAAGTGATGAAAATAGCATTTTCCTTGTTCAAATGATGATCTGGGAATTTTCAAGTTTATATGTCATTTTTGTGTTATTTTTTCTTCAACTTTTCTGATATTCAATGAAGGTCTGAAGTGGCCTAGAGCCTTTTTTAGCACCCTTTGATAAATATTTCCTTCATTTATTGATGCGCTCAGTGGACACGTGTTTTAGAATTCTTTCAGTCAAAGGTACATCCTTGATTCAATGTTTATTAGAATAAATTTGGTTCAATGTTTTTTGATTAATGAAATTTAAAGAATGCACCTTTAGTTCCATATATCTCCCTAATCCCTAGATAGATACATTTAAGAATGTCTTTTAATTCCTCTCGGTCTTCTTCTTCTTGTTTAATTTTATAATTAACTATATCAACAAAAATTAATAAATTATGATATACCAGTCCCTCCAAATATGTCTGCTAAATATTATATTGCCTCAAAATTTCAATGACAAGGCTCTAACATCAGTGATTATAGAAAGGTCATGAGTTACACGTACCCGCTAGAAGAGGGAGGGTCTGCCGAGGCCTCTTCGTCTCCAAGCTTCCCTCTGCTTCAAAGATGTCCAAACGAACCTAAATGCCTAATATCATACACCAACGAAAGGTGGAGTAGGTGAAATATATGACGAGACATCATCAACAGAAAATGTTAATTTTTTTATGATGGACAAGTTTTGGCGTTATACTGGGTAAACATGAAACAAGAGCTTTTTTTTGGACAAAGCCCAAAAGTGATGCTCCTCTTTTTTTTCTGGTTTTATTTATAAATTATTTTTAACATGTTTTACTCATATTTAGAAAAAAAAAATTTCATTATATTTGCCTTAAAATTTAATAACTTTTTTACTTTATCCCTGTTTAATATATATTTTAACATTATAAGAATAAAATAAATACAATAATAAATAAAAAGTATATTCATATGAAAAATAATTTAGAAAAAATCGTAAAAAAGAAAGCTAAAATAGAAAAATTGTAAATAGGAACCACTTATAACATTATTATGAATTTTGACAATAATAGTATAGATTTTAACAACAATTTCTGTGAACAGGTCCTTATCTATAATTTTTCAATTTCAACTGTCTTTTTTTTATGATTTTTCAAAAATTTAACTATTTACCTTTTAAATAAGACCAAAAAGCGTATTTTCTATTTTTTTTTAATGTTTGTATTCCCAAACGCCACCTAAGAGTAGGCATCATTCAGTTTTTCTTCTTCCTTTTTTTTTTTTTTTTTGGTGCGACCTGGGGTGTTATGCAGTTCTGGAACTCACAAATGTCACAACAATCTGCTATCTAGGAGACGACGACAGACAGACAAAAATTCATCAGTTCATAGACTTTCTTTTTTTGGGGCCAACCATCAGTTCATAGATATTGTACCCTAGGAACTACTAGCAGAAGTACTGAAACCACCAAGATGGACAATATAAATATGATTTTATTTATAATTTTTCTCTGCTGAAATGTTTACCACAGAAAATGAAGATGAAGCATGCGAAGTAAGCAGAAAGTGGAAGAGGCAATCAAGATTTAAGTCAGTTCTTGTGTTGCAGCCTGCCACTTTCGGCACCGGCAAAAGGATCAATGATAACATTTATAACGGCTGGTTTCCGTGCAGAGAAACCTTCTGAAAGAGCAGATTTGAGTTCTTCTGGTGTCTTAACAATATAACCTTTCCCCCCAAAAGCTTCAATCAAAATATGGTAGCCTGCATTAGGGACAAAAGAAGTAGGCGCAGGGTCGTCCTTGTAAGGTCCATTTACCTCTTCTGGGCTTCGACGGTCACCGCCATACACGCCACCATTGTTGAAAACAATCACAATCACAGGCAACTGGTACCTAACTAATGTCTGCAACAGCAAAAGACAGAATATATCAACCCAAATCTTCTATGTTTATAAATGTAATTTATATGTATCCACGTGGGATGCGTTGATAAGGGGAAAAGAAAAGGTAGGTTTGAAAAATGATTGATCTTAAACACTAATTCAGTACGTGATAATGGTGAGTGGTGACACAAAAACTAGCCAACATGACACAGCAGCATTAAATTCTAAAGTTCTCAGATGTTAGTTGAAATGTTGCACTTGTGTATAATACATGAATGTCAAACGTATGGCGGACAATCATGGCTGTTTCTGAGTGTTTGTGCTTCAAAATGAACAATATATAAGCTCAAAGACATTTGTAGCCACGTGATGATATCAAAATTCATAGAAAATGCATATACAATGTCGTACTAATATTCAGAAAGCTAAAACTTGAAAATAAATGCCCTTAAAACACTGATTTTTTACATAGTTATTTAAACAAGACATTTATTTGGATCAGTTCAAAACAACAAATCAAAATCCTGGGAAAACGCAACGCCAAATAAGACAGACCTCCCTGAGATGCTAAGTAGCTAAAAAAAGATTTCAAATTAAATGCCCTTCAGGCAGCCATAGACCACTTTCTCCCATCCTTGGTAATTGCTGAAGCATAGTATACCAACAAATATAAACATCCAATTCGTCTAAAAGTTTTCAACAGCAAGGGACAACCCTTGCAACCAACCATATCATCTCTACTCATGTTATACTATATCTCAAAGAATGTTCTTTCCATCTCCAGATGGAGAAGAAACTCATGATGAAAAACATCGTGCAAGGAAGCCTATGCTAAGCAAGGATACCAAAAGTTTATACCAGCAAAGGTAGGAACAAATGTAGATGGAAGACTATAATATCTGCACAATTTTCCACAACTCCCATGGCCCCATGGGTAGTGGACAAAGATTTTCATCTCTGGTTTGCTCAAATGGGTGCTAAACCACTTGCCCAAACCTCATCTATATTCACGGAAAGCAACTAAACCTCAACAAAATCAGGAAGGTGAGGAAGCCATTTTTACCAACAATCCTCACACCCAACCCAAAAAAAAAAAAAATTTCCCACCCAAAAATACCAGTCCAATAAAAAAAAACTCTTGGTTCTCTCCTGCTAAACTACTGCAGCTTATGTCCACCATAACACAGAGATCATAGAAGAAATCCAAAAGCCTTGTGGAGACTAGGACACCCTTCATCATATAAAAAGATAATTTTAAGGAAAACTGCATATGGAATCTGATCAAACTGTTATTAGATGCGAGAGTGACAAAAAAAATGAACATTAGAGATGGACAAGATTAATACAACCATCAAAGTGTTGTTCAACCGAAGTAAGGTAACATTCTGGCAATATCTAGCATCCATCATGCCATTAGACAGCAATAAATCAAGCTGCACTAATCTCCAAGACGAGAGAGGGAAAAAATCAGGGAGAAGAAAAAGATTCAGAAAGAAGTTCGTCAATATATAAGGGAAGATTATATCAAAGAAAATCCATGTTTATAGGGCATTGTGGTATTTCATGAATTACGGTTGCAACAGGTAATAAGAGCAAATATGAAGAAAGGAAGTAAAAAAAAGGTAAATACAAAGATATGGCATAAAAATAACATTTAGGTGCCACAATAAGATAAGAAAACAAAAATATCCTAAATGAGGTAAAGTTTAAGCACTAAGGAATGGAAGATCTATTTCTTAGTCAATTGCAAGTATATAATTGTAACTTAACCATAGATATTTATTAGTGATTTTATTAATCACGCAGGTGGTGTAGAAAACAAAAGGTAAGAATTACAGCCTTTTCTCTATTTGATTATGCTTTTCCCTCTTACTATCTCTTGTCTTTTCCATCTGCCCACATTAACAAGACTGCAATTGAAAGCCTTGGGAGGCAGTGAAAGAACTATCCAACTTTCCAGCAAAAATAATCCAGGAGCATATTGGAAAAGATGAAACTTGGAAAATGTCAAGTGCAAAATGCTTTAGATGATTAGGATATTTTTGTGAAAGAAATGGATAAATGATACAGCGTTTTTTTATGGTAGTTAATAGGTAAGATAATTTACCAGAAACGCGCTGCTTTAAAGCAAACTCAGTTTTATCAGGGAAAAACTGTATGGCATAATATGCCCTTACTTTTAGAGTTAATCTCCCAATGCAAATAAAAAGAGAAAACCATGATTTGAAATGTAGGGCAGAAAACCATGATTACTAGATGATAATAATAGGAGGCAGTTATTTTTTATACCTCAACTTCAATTGCGCTGAACCCAAATCCAGAATCCCCTTCTACCGCCACTACAAGCCGACCAGGAGAAGCCACTGCAGCCGCAATGCAATACCCCAGGCCAACCCCCATTGTTCCCCATGTCCCTGCATCTAATCTGGTCCTTGGCTCCGTCTGAATCAACACAGACCGACCAACATCCATAGTGTTTGCACCTTCTGAAACCACTATTGGCGCAGGACTACCCAACGCCAAAATGGCATCTCTTATAATTCTCATTGGCGTCATGAAATTGAAAGGCACGACGTCCTTCCCAAGCTGAGCCTCCATTTTGGACACATTGTCCTTTGCCTTGCCTGATATAGCCTCTACCCATGGATGTGACTTGCCCAAACAAAAAGGGTCATCCTTAATCTCTTTATTTATCTTCTCCAGAATCTGTTTGGCATCTCCAACTAAACCCACATGCGGTTTTCTCAGCTCAATTTCCTCCTTACTAATGTCTACCAAGATGAACTTCACATCCTTCGACCACTTAGGTGGCTCACCAAAGTGCAGCAACCAATTCAACCTTGCCCCAACAACAAGAGCAACATCGCATTTACCAATAGCAAGTGATCTAGCAGCAGTAGCAGCAAGCTCATGAGTATCTGGTAATAAACCTTTCCCCATTGGCGTAGGCAGAAACGGGATGCCAGTAGTCTCCACCAGCTTCTTAAGAGCATCTTCAGCTCGAGCATATGCTGCTCCTTTTCCACACACAATCAAAGGCCTCTGTGCATGCCTAAGCAGCGAAGCCACTTCCCCAATCTTCGGAATTTGAAGACTTGCCATGCCTTCTCCATCCTTAACTCTGGACTTCTCAGCCTCGGTTAACAAATTCTCAGCTTCAGCCTCCGATACTCTCTGATGCAACACGTCCGACGGAAGATCCAAATAGCATCCGCCGGGTCGACCAGAAGCGGCCCAATCGAGAACTTGAGCAACGCAGTTGGGAATTTCTCTTATATCCTTAGCCTTGACGGAAAATTTTGAAAAGGGTTTCACGGCTGCAATCTGATCAAGCTCTTGAAAATCACCACGACCGAAATCCTTCTGATCACACGAACCAGAGATCAAGACCATCGGCCAAGCATTAGCCATGGCGTTAGAGAGACCAGCGAGGCCATGAACACAACCAGGCCCCGAGACAGTAAGCAAAATCCCGGGTTGACCGGTGAGGTAGCCATAGGCAGAAGCAGCGTAACCCGCAGATTGCTCATTATGGAAAGCCAGAAATCGAATACCCAGAGAAACAGCGCGAGTTGCGAGTGACGTCACTGGAATACCTACGACACCAAACATGTGCTGAACACCAAATTTGGCGAGGGATTTGGCCGCAAGAACATTACCGTCGATCGAATCCGCCATTGAAGCTGGACACTCGTGACTTGTGAGCTTTTGATCTAACGAGTAAGTGCTTATTGGCTTTTGAGCATGGTTCAGGAACTTGTAAATTATGGTTTATATAGTCGAGTTTATGGTTGGTTGAATTTGTCGAATTCGGAGGTGGAACAACCGGTGGAGGGAGCGGCGGAGGGTGGGTGGCTATGGGTAAGGTGGGGGCGCGGCGGCTTGGCTTGGAAATGAAATGACAGTTTGGACCTTCAACGAAGCAAACTTTGTTTTGTGATTCTGGTAGATAGCATCTACGTGGCGATGACTGTCTTCATTAATCCACCATTAAATTCAAAGATTTACCTCTTCAATACATGCAGGCCGTGATGATCGCGATGGACTGAGTTTCGCGTGTTCTTGTTCACCCGTTCCAGTATTTATGAATGGTTTCAGTTTTAAAAATAAAAAGTTAAAAACCAAATTGCTCCTCTAATTCAAAGTGTGACAGCTAATTAAGGATTTAAAAGATTGATTTTCGCAAATACAAATAGTTAATTCATTTTGGAGAAAATTAATCTTTCGATTCATATAATTTTAACTTGTTAGTCTTCTTTTTGAATCAGTGCAACTCAATCATTATAAATTAATTTTTGAACTTTGCCCCACTCTTACTCACAAACATTGATTGTCCTTAAATTTAATCCGGTCTATTACCGGGCTTCTTTGTCACAAGTGTTGATTCAAAGCGGTTTTTCAATCGTGATTTATTTATTTCTTAAGTTTTATGTTTGAACTACAAAAAGATTAAACTTTGCCAAGCCAAGATGATATGTAACATAAAATAATAAGCATAGTGATGACTAATGACAAGTGTTGCACAAATAGATTGAGATCAAGCCGTTAATAAATTAATTTAAAAAAGCCACAACAAAATGAAGATTAACGGCCTGCCATAATGCGCAATCTCCAGTTTTATATATTCTGCTGCCATGAAGAACTCGGTAAATAAATAATCAATCTCTTTCCTTTTTAAATAAAAGGATAACATTTTATTATTAATAAAAAGAAAAGGCTAGAGTACAGAGCAGCTATACTTAACAAAAGAGATAGAATAAAGGTGGTGAAGAAACTTATCAGATGCAGGGAAAACTGAAACGGCAGTAAACAAGTTTTAGAAGAAACATGATGATAGATATATTAAAAAAAGTTAATACAAACTTTGATCTTTTAAATTTATCATCATTCTGATTTTAGTCCTTTAAGTTTCAAATAATAGGTTTTAGTCTTTCAAGTTTCTTTTCATTTAAAATATTGATCCCTATAATCTAATAAAAACTTAGATTATTTTGCACTTTGAGGGACCAAAACCTATAGTTTGAAACTTGAGAGACTAAAACCAAAATTAGGACAAACTTGAGGGACCAAATCTTATATTAACCTTATTGAAAAACTATGCCCATGTTGGGATGTGGAGACTGTTGAACTGCTGAAAGAGAAACATAATTCAAGCAGATTATTCCATGAGCATAATTAATTTCTCGTTGTAACATTTAACTTGCTCAAATATGAAACATTAGTTGAATTGGCTTATGCTCAAATGTGCTAAATTGACGTATGCAAAAGTAACAAAACATACAAAAGTCATTAATAATCTTGAAAAGTGATAATTTTTTAAACACCTACTAAAATATACAAATTATAACAAAAGTCATTAAAACAAATGGTAAAATGACCATCTAATGAGCACCATCGAACAACCTCATTATCACTTGTTTTCGCATTGAAGCCGGACATTGAATAGCTATCCTAAGCTTGTCAACATCATTCATAAGAAAACAATACATGTCAAGTATTTTTTTCAGCATCACACTCACATTCTTCAAGCATTTTCCAAACTTCTTCGCGCGATAATTGTGGCATTTGCAATTTGGTGTTAGCCATCTTTCGTAGCAAAATATTTCCTTGTAATATTGCATCATTTCCTCGATCAAGCGCCTCAGCAACTGGATGTACTGCCCTTGTTAGTTCCTGATCTCTCTCTCCTTAGTGCTTTGTTGTTTTTCTTTTTTGGGGTCTGATTCCACCTTACAGACAACAGTTTCTATTGTACTTACATAATCAATCATCTCAGTGCACTAGTTCAGATCCTGATGGTTGGTTTTCCCATCACAAGTGTCTTAGGAATTAAGGGGAAGGAAATTAATGGCATCTTCTTGGGGGGGGGGGGGAATTCTACTTGCAACAACTGTTAAGGCTGTATTGCGTAATGAAAGCTAAGCAGACAATGCCTTGAAAAAATGGAAGGTTCTGCTTTGAGTTTGGAACTTCAGGATTTCAAACGACAGACCCGTTGCCTGAACCATTTCATAGTATATCAGGCAAATTATACACTTGATAAACGAAACGCAATAATCTCCAAAGCCAGTCTCTTACTGCAAAGTCTCCACAACAATGATTGAATGTGTTTAATTCTCTATCGTTCCATCAAGAATTTGGGAAATACTAGCTCTTCTTGTAACGTCTGTCTCATATTTTTGGGACAAAATATGAACACTTTACATTAGTCTGTAATTAAACTAACTTCTTGCATGGATGTATATTGAAGCCTTTTTGTTCTATACTAAAGGGCTTAAGATATGTTATTCCAATTAACCATGCGATAAGAGTAGGTGTACATTACCAGGACACTCGTTATTATTCTTCATCACTTCCTTCTTTTTTCCTTGTTTTAAAATTCCCCGTTTTAGTTTTTGAAATCCAATTCAGGTTACAAAAGTGAGGATAGCTCTGCAAATGACATTGATGTCACCTCACCAGGTAGCATTTCTTTCTGTTGCCTGCTTTGCTTGAATCTCCTTTGGCACAAAATTGGGATTCAAATTGTTGGATTTGCCGTCATCTTAATGTGCTGCGATGGATCATACCGGGATAACCCTTAAGTGGCAAGTTCACTGCCTAGTGCACTCAAGTTAACTGCAGAGCATTTAGTTTGTGTGCCCCCGGGGATAATAAAAATAGAAAAGCTTTATATGCTGCTCATTCTGTTGTGCGAATATGTGCAGTGTGCATTTGGTTAGCAGCTTCTTGACTTTGAGATACACAAAATGCATTCAGAATTTATGATAATTATTGCTATCCTTAAGCCTACTTCTTCCTTCTTATATGTTTGAACTCTTTTAATTGATTGGAAATAAGTTACGTCACCATTCTGTTTTAATTATGCGTCTGATTCAATGCTTATACCTTGTGGACCTTTGGAATTATGTTTGGTACATAGCGCATCCATCTCTATATTACATTACCAGTTAATTCAACTTTGGAAACAAATAGCATGTGTTTTACCTGAATACCTGTTACCGTTGGAATCAATATGCATGCTCACGTTCTTGCTAGGAGTTCATTATTTGTCATTTGCTAGCATTTTGATATCTTTTTTTTTTTCCCCCGGTTGCGAAGTGCAGATCATCTATTTAGTGAAGATGATGTTGAAAAAGATGGTGGAAGAAAAGTTACTGCTAGTGCAGAGTTGTTTAACAAACATGATTCTGAAATATCAGAGGGAGTCCCTACGGGGTGTTTAGGAACCTAAAAAGCACTTTTCTGTAAAATAAGACAAACTCCTCCACATATTTACTTCATATGCCACATATTTACTTTGTATACCATAAAAGCACTTCTAAAACTATTGTTTGATTTCTATTCAAACACCCCCAATATTGACAGTGAAAAGGAATGGTTGCCAGAAGATAGTTCATCCCATATCTTAGAATGCAAATCAGTTTATGCCCTAGGATTATCTGTTTGTCGGAGGAGACTTTGAGGGCTCATTTGCAATCAAAGGTTACAAACAGACGTTCTTTTCCGTCTATCCTGTGGAAATTGAAATCCCTGCCCAGGAAGTGTGTGTGTGTGTGTGTATTCTCATTTTAGATATTTTCTCCACAAAATAGCATCTATCACATTCATATATTCGACGGCATTCTAATTAGATATCAGTTACATTTAACCAGAGAAATGTGAGGATGATACTGTCAAGAAGGTTAGGGGTGCTAGATACTCTATCCTAGGTTTTGTGCCTTCCTTTCAGTAAGATATGAGGGTTCAAATTGGCTTCACATTTCGCTATACCCTCATTTTGTGATGATCTGTTGGGGATCTTTGTATGACTTTTCTTTGATGTAGAGGCATGCTCGATCTGCGAAATTACTCAGTGAAGGTAGATTGAAGGCGTAGATTGAAGGCAATGCTGAACAGTGATGGTGAAATTGAAACCCAAGAGGTCTCAGAGACGCAAACTATTCTAACGGTGGGTTTCTTCCCTCACGCCATTCATTTTTAAAAAAATTGAGTTTCCAACTGCTTTGAAGCTCATGATATGCAATGAAAAGCCAAGTCATTTCCCTTTTTATTCTTGTTTTAGGATAACCCGGAAAAGAATCCCAAAGGACAGAAGCAGAACAAGAAGAAATTGAGGAAGAGGGTAAAGTAAAAATCAGTGGTCTTCCAGCTATTAGGGTAATTTCAAGATGATACCTTAAGGTTGATCAAAATTGTTTTAATCGCAGAAAAGGGACAACGCAAACAGAAGAAAAATGGGATCAAAAGAAGGTCCTGCCAAGAGAAGAAAAAAATGAGACTAGTATTGCATGCTATGTAATTTGTGGAGCAATTTTGCCTGCTGCAAATATTTACCTGCCTATGGATGATCTTCACAACAGTTTTTCTTTTGAAACTTTTTGACATAATACTCCAAATTGGCATTCTCATTAGCTTTCTACGCTCGTTTAGATTAACGTTTTTGGTGGAAGCACATCAATGTATTTAAATTAATGTCCCTTGAAATGGCAATCGAGATTATCATTGATGCTTTCTGTAACGAGTTCGTAATTTTACCTGTTTTCTTTTGTATAGCTTGTGAAGCGAAGTTTTGATGATGGAGAAGCTTGCAATGTCTATATACTTGCTGCGTTGTTTGCCAATGTCTACACTTAGTTAATGGCACATTAGGAAGTATAAATGATAATGTTTTTTTTTTCCGGTAAAAATTTTAAAAATATAGGGATCAATATATTAAAAAAAGTTAAAAATTAAAAAATTGGCAAAACTTCAAGGATTTTGAGTTTAATGAAACCGAACTAAAATTAAGGTGCACTTAATAGTTAGTCTCAATAATGTGATACCTGGGTGAAATTGGTAGAAATTTCTAACTTGGGATTTCCCATAAAGCTGAAGAGAGACATGAGATAGGTGAGTAAACATTGAGAGCGAAGAGGGGGCATACGAATACTATAATAGTTTAGCCGCGCAGCTAAAAGTGGATAGATTCCAGCCAGGGTGGACCAAACCCGAACTGAGAGAACATTATGATGCTTGGAAACAACGTGCATTTCCCTCTTATATTACAAAGCAACAAGTATCACAAAGAAACTGGGTTTTTCAAAAGCGCAAGCAGGTTTTGAGCCCAGTATTTCAATCACTGATTTCCACGACATTTCATTAACTAACAATTTTGGTGATCTTGAGCTCATATTGACACCCCTGGTGTTGCTATTTCTAAGCATCTACTTTGATTGAGAAATTTCATGCTTCAAAATGAGATGATTTGAATACCTGCAAATTGTCAAGATTCCTTCTCGTCTGATGGAACATGATCACGGAAGGCAAGTGGGTCTTCTCCATTTCCGTCGTTCTGCTCAGGCGGCGGGGGTTGGTCCCCACTCTGATTGTTTTCTGGATGGAAATTAATGGGGAATTTAGTGACCCTTGGTTTATCAGATAAAATGTTCCTTTGAACCCTATCAATTATAACCTTAGGCGGGGGTTCCTCTCTTAGCTGCTCATCATCATAATCATTGTTCACATAGTATCCCACTCTAACAAATTCTTGACCCAGATAAGAGCAGGTCAACAAGAGCACCGTGACACCAATAATATCTTCTTCACGAATCTTTGATGGGTCTGGTGGGTCTGCCTGCAAAATGCCAAAAGAACTCAAAGATTGAGTCCACATGATCACCAGAACAAAAAATGAGAAAAATAATATTATGCGTAACACTCGCCTGCAATACAAAGCGATAGTTTCCAACATTGACAGGGCCAACAAGCGCACACTCTAATAACTGGTCATATGTTTCATCCTCAGCAGATCCAACATATACGAGCTTCCATTCCAAATCTGTACTCAGGTGATACAACACGCATTATTCCAACCAAACTGGTTGTAGAAAATAACGTTAAAAGATAACAGCGAAATTCTGAAAGTTTATGCACTCTAGGAGGAGGTTAACGGGCATAATATGCACTTTCCACATTCTACAAGATTTAGTTCTCAGCAAATCCAGCAGCAAAAGATATGTTACCTTCAAAGATTTGGAACACCAATCAATGAATAATAGATATTTTGCTAGCGAATCAGAATGAAGCAACAATTCATCAGGGATATGCAACAAAATTAAAACCAGACAATTCATCTAATAGGCCAATCAAAGATTCAGGAATCTAAGCAAAGCATTAAACAGCATAGTTCCATGTCGATATTTAAGAAATGAAAAACCAAGTCTTTGTTCAACAGTGCTGTGAAAAATAGATAAAATTTAACAAGCGAAAAATGACATTCACTTTCAGAGACCGATTTAGATTTTATGATACATGCAGGATTTATGGAAGAAATGAACCTTTCAAATTTAAACCCTAAAATATGCTTAATTATGATAGGTCCCCAAAAAGTATGCACTATAATTTCACAATAAAAAAAAGGGAAAAAATCAATTTCTCACAAAATTTGATGTTTCAAGGATCACATTTTCAAGAAGCATCAAGGACATTGGGTCTACCAGCGCATATGATAGGGTTTCATGAATCACATATTCTTACAATGAAGCTGAAGAAGACGCTAACATCTACAATATTTTCCCTCTCATTTCTAAACAGAGTATACTTACATCAAAAGGATGGAAAAAAGGCCTTCCACATCACTAAGTAGTAACACTAAAACTACCGAAAACCAGTTTAATTAATGATGGCAGATGGCCTAGAACTTTGGCCAAAAAACAAAAAAATTCATGGCCTAGGACTAGCTTAGACATAACGTCATGAATGAACTGCAAAGATAGGGCCCAATCACATTATATATCGTTCTTTATAAATTATAGTGCAAATACAAGATTGGCAGCATGAAGAATCAGTTGTTATAAGCAGAGTTTGTTAGAACATAAACATGAGGCCAAAAACCATAAGTTTATGATGCCCAAGATGGCACTAATGTCCCCGCAGGCAAATTCAATGGTTTAATCGACATTTCGCATCAGTTCCAAACAATTCTTGGGATCAAGGTTCTATTAGCTACACCACCATTATCCTTTTTTCAAAACCATCGAATTTTCAGCGATGATACCTCGCAAACCCACCCAGGTTGATACCCTCAACTGAGTATTAACATGAAGTCACATTCATCCGTAACAAGGTTCATTAATATATTGATTTACCGGCAAGTTAAAATGAGCCTAGAGGACAAAAAAAAAGTCAGGACATGGAACTATTTCGCTTTTACTCACCAGTTGCTTAAAAGAACAAACGAAAAACCCTAATTTATTTCAGTGCTGGGTCATCGAAAGAGGAATTTCTTGATGAAAGAACCCATTTTCTTATGATCCATTTACTCAATTCATTTAAGAGCATAAAGAAAAGTAACCCTAACCTAAACTTACAGATGGGAAACGAACAATAATAGAATCTTCAAAACAAAAAGAAGAAACGAATGCAGGAAGATGACAGATAAAACAATTACCGTCTTTCAAAGGAGTCAAGCACTCGTATGAGATCTCAAACTGGAAGGGGGTCAAAAACGAAGCGGGATTGTCAAGGACCGTCACGTTGGTGATATTGACGGCACTCATAGCTTCGAATCAGAAGACAACGGTAACACCGCAAGTTGATGTCCAGAACTGCGGAGAAGCTTTCTGATTTGGGCGGTCTCGCATTTGAACTAAACTTTGGGAAATATTACGATGAACCCCAAGTCTTCTTATATGGGAAAATTACAGATAGGTCCTACAGAAGATAATTAATTCAGAAAAGTCCCTGAAAATCCTGAAATGCTTCCTAAGTTCCCAGAGATCACAGAGCAAAATATTACAATTGTGAAAAGTCTAGTTTGTCCTCATTGATTGAAAAAAAAAAAACCAGAGGGACAACCTTCAGTTGGTGCGCTGGTACTACATGCAAGAGGAAGAGAAGCTTCTGAAAGAAGAAATGAAGGTTTGTGCTGGTACTCCATTATTCTACGCAAGCTATGTTTTTTCTTCATCTTCTTTGTAGGTCTTAACATTAACAACATTTGTCTTCCTTCATACATAACCATTGAAAGTTTAATATTGATTTGAAAAGTTGATTGGCTGTAGGTGTGTGGGTATTAATGATCTGATTCAACTTAGTTGAACTATCAATAGAGGTTCATTTTAATCATATGTGGTCTTAATCATGTTAGGTGTGGTTTTATCATGTGTGGTTAGGATTATAAAGTGATGCTCTGTTTTTCAGTGAGTGATGCTATGTTTCTAATGAAAATGAATAAAAATGACAAGTTTTTATTGTTATAACCATTGCAATACGATGGTTAAATGTCTTGTTAATAGATATATCGAAGATTATTAATGTAACTGTATGACTTGTTACTAACAAGTGATTGTGATATGTTGATATGAAGGATGTCAACTTTAAGTGGGAAGCATTTGTTTTGTTACCTCCATATAAGAAGACAATTTATTAATAGTGTAGAAGGTGAAATGCAATATGTTGGAGGTAGTGTGAGAATAAGAATGATAAAGGAAGGCACATCATATGAAGAATTTAAAATAATGGTAGTATCAATTGTGAGAAAAGAAAGTAATAGAATGGTTATGAAATTCACAGTAACCTTTGATGAGAGTGTACATTTGTGGACCTTGTAAATAATGAAAGAGTGAAATATTTGATTAACTTCAATGATGACAGTGGTCATGTAATAGGAGAAAATGGAGATCAAAATTCATAACTAACAAGAGATGTTGTAATAGAAGAGCAACATGTGTAAGTTGTATTATTTAAATTTCAAAGTAATGTTGGCTATTGTCAATTATTGTGCTTAGGTTGTTATTGTAGTGATAAAAGGTTATGATTAACGACCCCATGACTTGTCGTGTTATGTAAGATGGAAGATTTATTTGGAGGTTCAAATTCATTGTCCATGTCTCTACCTAATGTGTTTAGCGAAGACCCACTATCATTGTCATGTGATTCACAAATGATGTTAACCCCAATTCTGAAAATGAATTCAACAAAGTGGAAGGGTTTGGTTATTGGAGAAAGATAAATTTTTTCTAATGTAGTGGCCCTTAGGCAAGCATTATATAGGTACAGCATTACTGAAAAGTTTTCATACAAATTTGTGAAGAACAATCAACAAAAGATCATTGTAAGTGTATCGTGGAGGGATGCCCATGGTACATGGGTACATACTCAATGGGACAAAGAGAAGATGCTAAGTTCTTCATAATAAGAACGTTAAGAAGTGAGCATGTGCATTATGCATAGGATAGCTTGGTTGTATCTCATTCTAGAAGGTCAAACTTAACATCATCAATCATGATAGATTCTTTGAGGTGTAATATAAACAAGAATGCTAATAAAATTAGAAGAGATTTTTATAGAGAATATGGGATATGATTGAATTATAGTCAAGCATACAAGGGTAGAGAAAGAGCATTAAGGAAAATACATGGTTGTGTAGAGGATTCGTGCATGGTGATTCCTTGGATTTGTGAAGGGCTTATTGAAACTAATCCAAACACAACTGCTCGATGTGAAGGCTTGGATAGTAATAGATTTGAGAGGGTGTTCATTGCTTATGGATGCTCAATTAATAGATTTTTAGAAGGGTGTCGAAATATACTTTATATAGATGAATGTCATTTAAATGGTCCTTATAGGGGGCATTGATTTCAGCTAATGCATATGATATGGACAATAAATTGTTTCCATTAGCATATGCTATAGTTACTGGGGAGACATATGATGATTAGGCTTGGTTTCTCTAGAATGTCAAAGACATCACAAGATTAGTGGAGACAATAATAGTTTCATATCAGAATAATGCCATTATAGGTGCTATACAGACAATATTTGGTGGCAAGAGACATGTGTTTTGCTACAGGCATGTGAAAGAAAATCTTAGTACACATTATTTAAAAATTAACTAAGGTATGGGATGAGTTTCAAGTAGTTTGAAGGAGTTCACATTGAAAATACTGAATGGAATTGCCTACGCAAGAATTGAGGATGAATATGTTGTTGCAATGGGAAAACTTAGATCATTTTGTCCACAATTAGTTGATTGGGCTGAGACTCAAGGAGATGTAGACTGATGGACTTTAAGCAAATTTTCTTTTAAACGATAGGATAATATTACCACTAATATTTTAGAGTCATTTAGTTAGTAAAGAAGATGATCGTAGGCAAAATGGCAATGAAAAATTGGACAAATGGCATTGGGCCAAATATTAAGTCTAAGTTGCAAGAAAGAGTAGCAAGAGCGAAGAATATGCATAGTATCTATTATGGA